CAGAAACAATGCAAAAGCCATGGGCGCAACGTCCATGCGATAAGCAGGATACTGGGGCATCGCAAGAGTTGATATCAAAAATGTCAGTCCTTCCATTCTTATAAAGTTGCTCCCACTTGAACACTTTGGTTTTACACGTAGATACGTATGTGTAGGCAATCCCCAGCAGCATCTAAAAACATTTTATTCTCTTTCGGCCATTTTCCTGTCTGCACACATAATTTTTTAATAACTCGGTGCTCCAAGACGTTCAATGACGTTATTATGTCACCCCGGACGAAGTCGGGGAGATATATTGCTATTATTCGACCAATAAATATTGCGGTCCGCGCAGTTTCTAAAAGACGACTTTGCCAATCTTGATGAAACTCTACTGTCATAATGATGTGCAATCTTTCTTTAATTTTTTTTCAAAATGGCCACTGTTGCCATGGAAACTGATAAGAAGTGGTATTTTCCTTAATTCATCTTTCTCGGTTGCTTTTAATCAAATCTTTTTGAAACTTTAAAGAGGTGTTCCTTGCCTCCTGTCAAAAACATTTTGGCAAAAAAAAATGGAAAAGGATGGACGGAAAATTCGATAAATTTTAAAAAAGTTGATGTCAAGTGACCAATTTTGTGATATTTCCACACATGGGTTTGTCCTTGAATGTTCTCCTTGAAGGGTTTGACAATATTATTGAAACCTTCCACAGAAATAATAATCACTATTCGTAGTTTTGCAAATCTTAATTCAAATTTTCATTTACGTTGCCATTAGAAAAGAAAAAAATAATTTAATTTCTTTTTCCATAATAATCCTAGGGTACATAAAGGTTTTTCTACGAAGCTTTTATATATTACCAGTTTCTTGATATGATTAAGAAAAAAATAAATATCTTAGCTTTCCAAAAATACGTAGGACCAACGTTTCTTAAACACTACAAAGTATTCATTTTATTTTCATTTATTGTAATTTTGCTAGTAGAGTAATACACATAAGTACGTTATGTAGAGGTAAACTTTCTTTTGTGTTGGAGAAGAGACGGAAAACCTTTCTAATTCCATAACAAAGAGTTTATTGTAAAATAGAAGGATTGTTTATATTTTATTTCCTTTTTTGAAATAAAGAAGACAACGTAATAATTTAACATCCCCCCATTTCTTCTCGCTCTATGTTTTGTTTTATGTCTTAGATCAAATAAAATGACCTTGACCTTCATATCACAAAAAATCTTCATATAGTTTTCAAAATGCTATGACTTTATACTTACTACCAAATAATGGTTAATTTACATGTCTCTTTTCAAGTTCACTCCCTAACCCCCCCCCCCCCCCCCCCCCCCGAAACAGCGAAGTAAATATGCAAGATATAAAATTTACAACAACTGAAAAGGAGATCTTGTGAGTTTCATTAATAAAATTGAGTTCCGCTTATGTGATTTGATATTTTGCCAGCATCCATTCTTTATCTATTTTGTCTACAGAAATTATATTTATATTTAAAATAATTTTTTTCTTTAAAAAATAGCGATTTTTAGCTGTATTCAGTAGCATTTCGCGTTTTCTAGTGAATGTATTACTTGCATATGAACAATTTTTTAAATGATATTGAGAATTATTTAATTTTAAGGAGATGGGTGAATATGACGAGCGATAAGCCTATAGTGTGACAAACATGGTGATGAAAAATGAAATTTCAATTATATCAACATTTTCCTTGATATTTCGTCTAACATTAAAATATACTTTATGTAAAATCTCTACAATTTGCAAAAATCCCTCAAAGATTGAAATTATTTGCCTGTGAAATATTAGACACACACTAAAGCGGGCTAAAAGAGTCATTTTCTCATACTATAACACTATTTTTCAATATGAGTGGGTCTTCGCTCCACCTTTTTGAAAGTTAATCCTCAAAGTTTGCATAAAAATACACATTTTTTGGTTACCAAAAATATAGAGCAATGACCCACTATACCTTAAAAATATACTTTTATGACATAAAATTCGCATCTTTTCGAGAAATAGTTGAAGTCCATTAAGTCAAGGGTCATATCACAAACATGATTTAAATGCCACTGTTCGTCAGGACTTGTGTAGTCTAGTGGTTAGAGTGCTAGTCTCGAAAGAAAATGATACTCAGGATTTTTATTGCTAGGGTTCGAACCCCACGAATACCACATTAATTTTTTTAATAAAAGAATAAATTTTGCCTAGAAAATTTTCCTCAGAAAAGTTTTCTTTATCACAATCTCATAAATTTCAATAATGAGAACTTCACTCTAAATATCAAATTCACGAACTGAACATGATTTTTATATTTCTGAAGCTATAGGCTTTCTGCACGCTATGTTCGCCCATCTCCTTTGCATCGTTTTTAATCATTGAAAATCCTTGGATCCGCTCCCGCAGTTCCGTAAAAATCTATTCACCATTGTACCCGAAAGATTTAGCAGGCCCGAAGTGTTCATTATTCTGCTAAACTAAGAAAGTTTACACATACTTTATTATCTCATAAAATACATAAGCCCCGTCCAATGCAGAAATGCCCGATTTGAAGAGGAAAATTAAGGAATTATTATTTCAGCCATGTTTTGATTTGAAGAGGAAAATTAAGGAATTATTTTGTTTCAGCCATATTTTGACGTGAACCTTGCTCTACTTTCACTTCTCGTAACTTTTGTTCCTTGCTCTACTTTCACTTCCCGTAACTTTTGTTCGACCAAAGGTAACAAGCGTAATATTTTTCGTTTGTTTTTAAAAGGAGGTTGGGGGGGGGGGGCGTTTTCTACGAATACTCTTCTTTAAGTATTGAAACTAGCTTATGGTTCATTTCGGGGTGACATACGCTATTGCTTGCAATAGCAGATTTCTAGCTATTCTTGCTTTGTTTCTACGCATTAATAATCTATAATTAGCGATAAAACAGCCATATAACTCCTCTAATTTAATTCAAAATTTCCCCAAATGACGTTTTATGAATATTTTAGCGATACGTGAAATATAAGATTTATGCGCTACAACAGTGCAATTTTTAATTAAAAAAATGTCTCTGTAATGTAAAGGTGCGAATAAGTAACATGCTCCGTGAAGCATGTTTTATCTACATAATTTAGCTGTATATTTTTTAAAGATAATCGGAAAACACCAAATCTTTGCATTTTAATTGAAAAATACGTATAGTATTTTGTCTGCAGAGTTTTAATGGTTTCATGTATATGGCGCGCTCACAATAGAACTTTTCCGCGAACTTTTCTAACAACCCTAGTATACAAAGATTCCCCTGCTTTTTCATATGTTATATGACCCTCTAAAAACCCTGATTCTTCCTATGAGAGTTTAACAATATTTGAATATATAATTTCCTCCTTCAATATTTTACTTTGTATAGAGTCATCAATGTTTCGATATAGATTTTCATAAAAATGTTTTGTTTCTTTCAGAATATCAAACAGATTAAAAATGATGCCAAGTTATCTAATTCTACATTTTGGGTTATTTTATATAGGAATTTTTTGGATCTAAGCTACAAAAAATAATGTGTTGGTGCTTCACATTCTTCATCTAATCTTGTTATAGATCGAACACAAACACCAGCCATTTTTATGTTTTGTTATATTTTCTTCTTTTTTTTTTTTTTTTTTTTTTTTTTTTTTTTTTTTTTTTTTTTTTTTATATTCCCTTCAAGTGCTTCTGCATCTATTGCATTTCTTCACACCTCTCAACATTTTCAATTTCTTCTTTTTTCGATCTAGATTTCTTTTTAAGGAGGAGTATGAAATACAGTCACCTCTAATTTTCATGAGAAGAGTCTCCAGAACTAATTGATCATTTATCGTAAATGTGATTCTTTATCATTAATTAAACTAAAATTTTTAAATTTGTAAACTGGTACTATATTTGTTTTAAACATTTTCTATTACCTTTCTTTGGTTATTTTCTGTAACTTTGAGAGACCTCATATTATAACATTCTCATTTTGAAAACCATCTATATATTCTCGCAATTTCGTGTACATGTAGCAGGCTGGGTTATCATTATTTGGTCCCTAAACGCAACAGAATAGTAACTTTTTTATCAGTGGTAAATTCTAATAAAATACAAATACACGCTCTATCACCTTTTTGCTTTTAGACGGAAACTCCAGTTAAAAATTGTTTTAAATGAAAACTGCTACATCTCTGGAGTTGTAAGAGCATGACCAAAAAAAAAAAAAAAAAAAAAAAAAAATCAGCACCACAGGTTTCTAGATATCACCTTCTGCCTCTAATGTATTATTGATATCTTAAAGACAATACATTAATTTACATTTTCAAATGTCTTTACCCGAGATAAAGTACAAATAAGGTAATACCTTTATATCCTCATAAAGCGATTTCTCGTGCCAGAACACCATGGTTTCTCGCTGTGTGTTACTTAGCCCCCTGCAGAGATTTTGTATTATTGAAAAAAAGTTGAATCAAGAATCAGGTGAAAATGTAAACGTAAGTAAATAATATCTGGTTTTTGTCTCTGTGATGATGATCATCAGTTTGCTTGCGTGATAATTTTATGCATAAATGCTCTCGTTTATGCAAATTAAGAAATAATGTAAAATTGAAAAAAACAAACAAACAAACAAAACAAACAACAAATTACATACTCATAGCAGAAATATTAATTCAAAGTCACTTGAAATAATAATAATAATAATAATAATAATAATTTAAAAAAAAAAAAAAAAAAAAAAAAAAAAAAAAAAGCAGTGATTTTACAATTGCCTTTAAATGTCTTTTTAAAAAAAATTCTTTCAAGAATCCATGATGCTGACTTTGATATTTTATGCCGATCATTTCTTTAAAAGAAATACTTGTTTTCCTGCGGAGGTGGTTTGATTTTTCTTTTATTCATTGGAAGAGGACTAGCTAGTCGAATATATCAAATGAATATCCTCTATAAACTAAATGATGGAAGGTACATGTACATGTATGTCAATATGAATGAATACACGTATAAATAATTTCAATGTCTTCTTTCAGCCTGTGAATACAATGAATATGGTAAAGACTGCTTAGAGAGATGTAGTGGTAACTGTTTGAATGGTGAAACCTGTGATCGTTTCTATGGAAACTGTAGTAAATGTTCAGCCGGATGGAAAGGTCCTATGTGTAATGTCAGTAAGTAAAAACAAAGCGTTTCTTCTGACAATAAACTTCAACACGGAAATATAGAAAGGGGTCTATATGGACCACATCTATTTTTTTTTCTACAGAAAGTTGGCCAACATAATGTTTGTGATAAAACCTCTCTAAATGTACCAATCTTTTTCTAGTTCTGGCGTTAATAAATAATATTTGTAAGCCTTCAACCCCTTAGGAAATTAACAAACTTTGATTATTTTTAAAGTGAAATATAAAATTAATCTGAAACTTTAAGTAACCTCTGATTTAGTATTTAAGGTGGAATTTTAATATTCACATGTCATCGTGTGTAGTGCATTTTCTGTTGCGCTTTACCTGGCTATTCTTGGATGGCACAGAAAAGCACAATCTGAAGGCAGCATGTTTCCTTTCTTTATGGCTTTTTTGTGCACCACCTTTTTGCTTCTTAAGTGTTTTTACCATTGATACATGTACTATTGGCTGGGCTATTTTTGTCGTGTGATTAGTAAGAATTATGTCGTGTGACTAGTCAGCATGTTTAACTAGTCAATTTGTATTTACTAAATATTTTGTTTTAAGCCCAACCAATTAATTGTTATATAAGTCTATGTAATATGTAAATGTAGTTTTAGTCATTTGTTAGTTTCAATATATGACATTTTCACTCAATAGTTCTTTCTTAATACTATATACAAGAGGTTAGGCAAAAACAAGCTGCGAATAGCCAGAATTGTCTCCTCTCACTACAGGGAAAATTTGTGGATAAAAATAATATCGGCGACAACAATAGTCACGTTAATATTGAGTGAAACAATTGTTGCCATTTAATAAAAAGGTATATAAAATATTAGTATGTTAAAAGTATTATTGAGGTTGGAATAAAATAGTTTTCAGACTCGTGTAAATAACAATAAGTGAGCTACAAATTAAAAGTTCATATTGATATTGACATTTTTTATCTTGTTTTAATCAAACAGGAAATCAACGAAACAATGGAAGAAATATCTGTTTAAGTGAATATAAAAGATATCTATTTCATCATACAGCTTGTGACAGCGGGGAGTATGGAAAAGACTGTCTGGAAATATGTAGTGGAAACTGTTTTAATGGTGAAACCTGTGACCGATTTTATGGAAACTGTAGCTACTGTTCTGTCGGTTGGAAGGGTCTTATGTGTAATATCTGTAAGTCGTTTTATTAACGAAGTATTTTTCTTTTAGATTAACAGGTCGGTTACACTATCTTTTCTGGAATGCACTTTTCAACACGTGACGATGTTTTCGTCAAACCCATTCTCCAATCAATTGAATGAGTCGCAAAGCATGACGGTCCACTACGTGTTTACGATTCAATAGCGACATGTGGTTTTCGTCGGTTTACTGCAAAATATTTACTTGGTCACCGGAAAAACCATCAAGCTTCTTTTTTACTTATTAAGGCTGAAAATGAAAGATTATATTCCGAAGACACTGTTCCATGCTCACATTTAATATTTAAGTTGTTTTAGAGGATTAATAGTTGCTTCAAATACCGTACACTTAGGGTCATTGAGCACTTTTATCGTGCAAAAACCTGCGGCGATAGGGGCCTTGGTTTTTAAGGTCTCATCCGGAAGACCCGTACCTTTCACTTCAAAGTGCCTAGCGCTTAGCAAAGGAACAGTTGCTACCATTTTGGACGAGTGAATAAATCAATGCACGTAGCAATAAACGAATGAAATAGAACCTTCTCGAGACTGAGACGGAGACATATCTACCATCTAATATCAAAACGTGAGCTTGCAAGAACCATGGAGAAAGGTTTCAAAAACAACTGATCTACAAGTAAAATTCTTGACCTCAAATACATCGCAAACTTATAAAGTTTGTCGCTAATGCAACCCGAAACCATGTTTTTATGTTATTTCCAAATCAACCTTTTTCACCCTTAAATATACAGTTGACGTAAACGACCAAAACAAATATACTAAATATCTATAAATCCAATATAGATGTTTGTTTACCATACTTTCATCTCCTGTTGCAAGACCAATTTATAAACCGATATTTTACCAAGCCTTGTCTTAACTGAGAAACATGAATTAAGAATTAAGGATTGACCTAAGAAATGCTGCATAAGTATATTGCATAGCCCAATTCCAGGATGGCCACCCATGGGGAGTTTACTAAACTTATTATTTGTATTCTTTCAGCCTGTGATGTCGGAGAATATGGAAAAGACTGCTTAGAGAGATGTAGTGGAAACTGTTTAAATGGTGAATCATGTGATCGTTTCTATGGAAACTGTAGCTACTGTTCAAATGGATGGAAAGGTCCTTTGTGTAATGTATGTAAGTAAAAAACAAAGTTGTTTTTCTAGATTAACTCATAAATGCGGTAAGGTAAGAAGAGTACTGTGGTGTCTCTTTTTTTTTATAAACTTTGCCAACATAATCTTCCGATGAAACTTTACCAAAAATACCAAAAATTTACAAGAACATACCTGCACAAAGAATAAATGAATAATAAAGTTTTCCAAAAAAAAATGACAAAAGTCGCATTCTTCCTTTTTCTTTTATATTTGTTAATTAAATGTATATAAATAAAAAAAAAACCTTGGTAAATATGCTTGTAAAGTTTGGTAAAATAATTTTCCAAAATTGTGAATAACGATAACATTGCAAAAATTAATAAACGGTAACAGTTTTGCCTGTGGATGTTTTTCTTTTTTCACTACAATGAAAGAGGAAATAGGATAAACAATAAAAGAAATATGTGTCTACAGTAAGTGTCTGAAATAACAAATTAATATCTCTCATATACTTCAGCTTGTGATATCGGAGAATATGGAAAAGACTGCTTAGAGAGGTGTAGTGGAAACTGTTTAAATGGTGAAACCTGTGATCGTTTCTATGGAAACTGTAGTAAATGTTCAGCCGGATGGAAAGGACCTATGTGTAATATTTGTGAGTGTAATTAAATCCTAAAACATTCAAAAAATGAATGGAATGAAGACAAAAATCCTACATTGACCACGTTCATTTTTTAGCTCTACTGGTCAGAAGAGCTTATGCGATAGTAAGGTGTCCGTCGTCCGTCCGCCTGTCTGTCTGTCTGTTTGTCTGTCCGTCTGTCTGTAAATAATTTTTCAAAACGCTACTCCTCCTACAGTTTTGGTCTGATTTCAATATAACTTGGCACAAAGGTAAACTACACTAAGATACATAATTTAGTATCGGTTTTTGATTTCGATGAACAGTGTTGCCATGGTTACTAAAAATAGAAATTTCTGTGAAATTCCTTTAAAACGCTACTCCTCCAACAGTTTTCGTTTGATTTCAATATAACTTGGCACGGAAGTAGATAACATTAAGATACATAATTCTATTTATTGTTGCATTTTGCAAAGTTTCAAATCCAAGTGCTACTTTTCCTTTGTTATATTTACAGACCAGTAGAGCTACAGTCTCATCAGACTACTGGTTTCTGTTAGAAACCTAGAAAAATTTGTTTAAAAAACCTTTTCTTTGCAGCAGACCAACAAAATTTTTTCTAGATGTGAGTGATTTAATTGAAATACTTACAAATCTGTGACATTTAGAAATTTAATGGAAGAACGAAGGAAAAGATAATGTGAAACAACCTTTTAAGATGTATGCATATTCCATGTTTTGTACTGTTATAAACTTACAATCAGATTAAGTCTAGGGGAGGTGGGGAAGCCGACGAGAAATGGCAAACTTTCTCTTTTTAGGTCACCTGAGTCACTCAGGTGACCTATTGCTATCCGTTCTCGTCCGTCGGCGTGCGTCGTGCGTTAACATTTGAACATTTTTAGCTTCTTCTCTAAAACCGCTTAACCAATTTCAACCAAATTCGGCATATAGCATCTATGGGTGAAGGGGAACAAAAATTGTGAATTTCATGTCCCTGCCCCCCTGGGGCCTGAGGGGTGGGGCTAAAACCACCAAAAATAATGCAATCTTTAAAAATCTTCTTCTTTACTCCTGGACATCAAGCAGTCAAACTGTTGGCATCATTGTACATGTAATAAGCATTGAGCCCTCTACCAAAATTGTGAAATTCATGGCCCCAGGGTCAGGGGTTCTGGCCCCAGGGTGGGGCTATATAGATCATATAGTGAAAGTGCATTATTTCTTTGAAAATCTTCTTCTCTGCTCCTGGGTATTAAATAAAGTAACTGCGTACATAGTTATGATAAGCAAGAGAGCCTCTTCCAAAATTGTGAATTTCATGGCCCCAGGGTCAGGGGTTCTGGTGTTAGGATGGGGCTCTGTTGGTTATATAGTGAAAATGTATTAATTCTTTGAAAATCTTCTTCTCTGCTCCTGGATATTTAATAAAGTAACTAAGAACATAGTTATGATGAGCAAGAGTGCCTCTTCCAAAATTGTGAATTTCATGGCCCCAGGGTCAGGGGTTCTGGTGTTAGAGAGGGGCTCTATCAACTATATAGTGAAAATGTATTAATTCTTTGAAAATCTTCTCCTCTGCTCCTGGGCATTAAGGTGATAAACTAAGTACATAGTTATGATGAGGAGGTGGGCCTCTTCCAGAATTATGAAAGCCATGGCCCCAGAGTCAGGGGTTCTGGTGTTAGGGCGGGGTTCTATTGATTATATAGTGAAAATGCATTAATTCTTTGAAAATCGTCTTCTCTGCTCCTGGGTATTATTTAAACAAACTAAGTGCATGGTTATGATGCATAAGGATGCCTTTTCAAAAATTTTGAATTTCATGGCCCCAGGGTCAGGGGTTCTGGTGTTAGGGCGGGGCTATATTGATTATATAGTGAAAATGCATTGATTCTTTGAAAATCTTCTTCTCTGCTACTGGAGATTATTTAAACAAACTAAGTGCATGATTATGATAGGCAAGGATGCCTCTTCCAAAATTTTTAAATATATGGCCTCAGTTTTTGGGGTTCTTGAGGAGGGGGGGGGGGGGCTCTATTGAATATATAGTGAAAAAGCATTAATTCTATTAATCATTAATTAATCCTGTCTGCTCCTTAGTGTTTAGCTGATAAATAAATTGCTTAGCTATGATGAAAATGGGAGCTTCGAACAGAATTTTTAAATCTTGTGGTCCTAGGGTCAGGGGTTCTGGCATAACGAGGTGGGGGGGGGGGGGGGTTGATAATATAGTGGAAAAGTGTTAATTCTTTGAAGTCCATAGTTATGATGATGCGGGTAACTCTTCCAAATTTGTAAATTTCTTGACCCTTGGTCTTGGGTTCTGGTGTTAGGGTAAGGCTTTGTTGAATCTGTAGTGAAAATGCATTGTACCTGTGAAATTCTTCTCTGCTTCTGGGCATATCGGAAGCAAACTGAGTAATAGTTTAAATGATATAAGTAAGCTTATTTCTACCAGATTCTTGAACATTTGGACCATTTGTCTAAGCATTCTGGTCCTTGGCAGGGCTCTATTAATTTGTATTCTACTGAGAGGAGTTATTCCCCTTTGCTGTTTACTTTTGCTAATTAATCACTGTAAACAATATACTTGAAAGGTTAATAGAATAAGATAATTATGCAAGAATGTTTATCGTATAATTCAAAAAGTATTTTCTTAGTTTTAATAATCAGGTAGACCTGTAAGTAATAGATAAATAAAAATGAGACAAAATTAACTTATCTTATTAAAAGTTCTTCAAAGACCATAAGAGAGGTCAATGCTAGAGGTCTTAATATGGGTTTAAAAATAGTACAGAAGCACTAATAGTTTGTTAATAGTCTGCATGGTGATAGTGTTAAGTGGGGGACAGATTAGAACTTAAGAACAAGGTACAGTTTCAATACAAATCTGGCCCTGTATTTTTCTAAAATATGAAAGTGACGAAAGAAATTAAATTTCATGCTTTCTGAAATGTTGAAACTCCATGCACTAGGATCAAACAAATCGTTTTTCTCATTTGACTTCCTAAATGCTAATTGTGACGTCATAAACTTGTGCCTTTTCCCGTATTTCTTTAAAAATTGCAGAAGACATCAATTTTCAGTGAAATTTTCTTTAAGATAATATAGACCACATGCATCGCCCACAAAGATTTTGAGAAATATGACTTTTCAAAGAATTTTACACAACATATCCAAATGTTGAAGTGGGCGATGGCTGTGGACTCAATTTTCTCAAGGAAAATACCCCCTGAAATGAGTCATTTTGAGGCTTTTTCTGCTTAAAACTTCGAAAAATTCAAAATTAATGACGTCATATTTGCAGAATGGTCCTCCTTCATGCCACATTCTTTCATGAATTATCACACTCATATACTCAACTTATATTTATGTCAATTTCAAAACTTTTTGAAAACATTAAATTTTTAGGGCACAATGAAGCCAAAACCATACCTTCTTCTTTATGAGTTGATACTGAATACTAGACTAATTATTTTGTTGATCCTGATCTTCCTACTTCTCTTGCTTTAGGGCAACAAAGCTTCATCTATCAGTGTATTTAATTTCTAAATTGTTGTATTATACTCAGGTGACCGATAAGGCCCTTGGACCTCTTGTTTTTCAAAACTGTGAATGACGATAACATTGCAAAAATAATAGTGAACAGTTTACCCTGTGTATGTTTTTTTTTTTCTTTTTTCACTATAATCAAATACTTATTTCATACCAATTCTTACAATTGTTAGGCCTTTGTTTTTATAGTAAATCTGACTACCAAATGTTCCGTCTATTTGGTAAATACAAAGAGCTCACGGCGGGTGTGACCGGTTAACATGGTATGCTTACTCCTCTTAGGCACCTGATCCCACCTCCGAAATTTCCATGGGGTCCATGTTTATGCCCTGTTCATATGTTTGTATTGGTTTTAGTTTTTATGCGATCTATCACTGTTCGTTACCTTCACCCTTTCATGTATGTATCAGTCGAAAACAGGATATTTAAAACATCTTATAGAGACAGAAGGGTTATATTATCGGTAATATGTAACGCATTTTACTCAAAGAAAGAAGTGTGTCGATCCCTGATTTAGAAAGGGGGGGGGGGTGGAAAAAGGGTGGATTTCCAACCCAAAGAGAATTTGCTCGTGACTACTATAAAATTGTTTGATACACATTAACCAAAAAATAGAAATTTAAAAGAGTATCAGTGATTCATAGGACAATAAATCGGGATAGGGAGTCGGGAGACTAATTTAAGTATAGCGGTGGGCTGACAATATTGCAGTAAAAATAAACTCAGTATGAAATCTCTCGAATATGAGGAATTGTTGAAATAAACATGAATGAATAAATCAAAATTAATTATTTCGAACAATATTAATTAATTTTGGCTTTGAGGGTGGAGGAATCAAATCTCTACTTTATTGTCACATTTTATGATTGTAAATTCAAAAAAAAAAGAAAGAAAAGAAAAGAAAATTGCGTACTGAAAGAACAAATATTAATTTTAAGTCATTTGAAATAAATTTGAAAAAAAACAGTGATTTTTACAATAATCTAACCTACTAAAAAAGAAAAAAAAACTTATTTCAAGAAATTTCATGATGCTGACTATTGATATCTCATGCCGCTCATTCCTTTAAAAGGAATACTTTTTCCTTCTTCGCAGGTAGGCGGATCTTATTATTCATTGGAAAAGAACCACTCGAATATGCAAATGAATATCCTTTTTAATCATGGAAGGCACATGTACATGTATGTCAATATGAATGACACATGTACAAATAATTTCAATGTCTTTTTAAGCTTGTGAAAACAATGAGTATGGAAAAGACTGCTCAGAGAGGTGTAGTGAAAACTGCTTGAATGATGAAACATGTGATCGTTTCTATGGAAATTGTAGTCACTGTTCTGCCGGATGGAAAGGTCCCATGTGTAATGTGTGTAAGTATACATAAAACATCTATTCTAACAATAAACTTTAAGACATAGGAATAGAAAGAGGTCTATATGGACCAGAACTATTTTAATTGTTAGAGAGTTTGCCAACATAAAGTTTGTGATAAAATCCTATGGGATCTTGATAGGGCCTTGTAGTTCTCTAAAGCACCATCGAGGTTTGGGCCAATAGTGAGATGATGCGAAAATTCGATGACAAGGAAGCAATGGTACAATGAAGTGTCGGAGCGAAAGTGCGATAATGGTTATGCGATGACGCGACAATGCGATGTCGATGATGCGATAGCCTGATGAAGCGATGAGTCAATGGTGCGATAGCGATGACATGATGGTGCGATGACAATAAAGCGATGATACGAAAATGATGAAGCGATGTCGATGTTCTCTATCGCTCCATCGCACATCGTCATCGCATTGTTGGGCTATCGCATCATCGTCAGTGCTATCGGACCATCGCGTCATCGTCATCATGTCATCGCTTCATCTTCTACGCGCAATCGCATAATCGTTCCATCGGCCTTTTAGTGGAAGCTCGATGGTGCGATAGGGAACTACCTGGCCCTATCGGATTTCCACAGAAAACCTCTTTATATGTACAAAACGCATTCTGGTGATAATTTGATACATAATATCTGAGAGCCCTCAACCGTTTAGGAGATCTACAAACTTTTATTCTTAACTTTAAAACGAAATATAAATCTGTTAGTCTGTAGCCCTTTTCACAAAAAATCTTAAGTTTCTACGTAAGACTTCAACTTAAGAATCCCTTACGACAAATCTTAAGTGCTTTTTATGAAAGCATTCGTAGCAGATTAAACTTAAGATTTTACTTACGACAGACTTCGTCCCTATACGGAAGCGTATATATATATTTTTTTTTAAATTGGTAATTCCAACTTTAAAGTTGGAAATTCCAACTTTAATCTTGGCTTTTCCAACTTTAAAGTTGGCTTTTCCAACTTTAATCTTGGCTTTTCCAACTTTATAGTTGGTAATTCCAACTTTAATCTTGGCTTTTCCAACTTTAAAGTTGGCTTTTCCAACTTTAATTTGAGCTCTTCTTGCCCCTTTCCTTAGCTTTTTTCCTTTATTTTAAATTATTACTAACTTTATTAATGCAAAATTAATACACTCAAATAGACTGGTGAGCAATGAATATGTATCAATTATTTTTTACCTTGACCTTCCCTATGACCCTACATATAACTTCCAACTTTTAATTAAAAACCTTTATATTTCTTTTGGTCCATCTAATATAATTACAGTGGCGCCTCGTTTATCCGGACGCCTCTGTCCCCAACGAAATCGTCCGGATAAATGAATCGTCCGGATAATTGAATCACATCTCAAAAAGCACTCTCTAAGTATGTACATTGTATATATGCACATTCTTGTTTCAAATGTGACAGCAAAGAAAAAAAACTTTTAAATTATATTTTGGTTTATTGTTTTAAAAGCAGTAATTGATTTAAGAAAAAAATATATTAAAATGTAATTTACACAATAAAAAAAAATGGATGGGCAATTTTATGCTGAGACCTCCTATTTTAATTCGCCTTCTCTTTGGCCTGTGACTTCATGGGCTGAGCAAATTTTGATCTACAGTTGTTTTATTTAGCCATATATTATAATTATTGAAGCTCATATGATATGACAGAACTGTTCAGCATCATCATTAAAAATGTTCAAATATAAACTAACCCCGTATATTCATTACACAGGGTTACTATAAAATTAACTGCAAGCTTATTCAAACAAAGTATTAAAAACACTCGTAAACACAAGCCATCTTCATGATTATCAATATTTTTTCCTACAGACGCTAAGTTTGAATTTTGATCATTAAAAATACCTTGATAAACGTAATCAACTTCTGTACGTAACGCCAGTTTTATGTATCTTTTCTAAAGCAATGGACGTTTGTAAACGGTAGTACATTAAATAGAGATATTTCTTTACTTATGTACGTATGTTTACGTTTTTAGAGATGGAAAACAGTATTTTAAACTAACGCAATCAACATGATAAAGAGCATTACGAAATCGCTCGTTATTTAATTATTGTTCATTTTATTTACAACTCTCCAAAATTCTCATGAATTTACCGATGTACATACGGTTAGCAATATGATTTTGAACAGATTATTATTTAATTAATGCACAGTGTAAGCTAAATATTAAAGATAAACGTGTGATTGAATTAGGGTAAACACACGCTAATAATAGACGATATTGTTTGTAGGTCACAGGTAACCGTCTTCAAACTGACTGCATGGCCAATGTTTTTACAACAATTAACACGAATGCAAGCGAAGTGTGAAAAAGTCGTTTCTTGAAAAATTACCGTCCGGATAAACGAGTCATTTTTCAATGAACTATTACGTTTTTGTAGTAGAAATTGACCGTCCGGATACGGAACGCGAATTTCCGGATTAATGAGACAAAATAACGTGGAAAAAATCGGTTCCCAAAAAATATCGTCCGGATGGTGAAGCGTCCGGATAAATGGCGTCCGGATAAACGAGGCGCCACTGTATATAGAGAATAACTTCATACAACCCCTTACATGACAGGATTTCAACCAAACCTATTTAAGAGATCAGGCATATATTTTGTTTTGTATGAGGGAATAGGCTTAAACAAAGATCATTATTAGGTGTTTGATATATAGGATGAATCAACACTATATTACCGTACATGCTACAAATACAACAGAACTAAATGTATAAATTCTGTTTGTTATACCCTTATAAATATCTTTCTATATATTTATTACAAATAAAAAGTCCAACAAAGTAATTTTTTTTTTCATCGGTCTAACAATTTCATTGTTGACCGGTCTGTCAGTCCAACATAAGAATTGTTAGACTGCAACGTCACTGCTACGTCACAAGTAATTAGTCGTCGTTCAATATCGGCGACACGGAAATAGCCGAAGTTTCAAGAGTTACCGCGTATGCTATTTGAAAGATGGCGTCACTGGAAAAATAATGTTTTGTTATAAATAATTTCTGTGTTATAACAATTTAATGTTTATTTTTTTTTTCATTTTTTGTTGTTGTCATTTTTATTTAAAAAGCCAAAATATTACTTATAAAGAAATTGTTTAATTATATAAGTAAATCTGTTTAAAGGTTTTAATTTTAGTGTTCTATCTTAAGTGAAGGGTATAACAAAACAGTTGTAGACTGGGTATGAGGGCAACATATGATTTGTTGGACCTGAAGATGAAAATGTTGCCCTTGGCATGCGGCCTCGGGCAACATTTTCACCTTCAGGTCCAACAAATCATATGCTGCCCTCATACCTAGTCAATAACTGTAATATGAAAACACAATGAAATAATTCCTTCTTTCTTCATCATAATTTCATAATTAAATCGTTTCCTTCCATTGTCATAACAAGTATTAAACTGAAACACGAGTCCAGCTACGAAGTATCTGAATATAACGCATAAAGCCGTACAAGGATGGAAAATCCAAGATTAAAGTTGGAATTACCAACTTTAAAGTTGGAAAAGCCAAGATTAAAGTTGGAATTACCAACTTAAAAGTTAGAAAAGCAAAGATTAAAGTTGGAATTTCCAACTTTAAAGTTGGAAAAGCCAAGATAAAATTTGAATACGCTTCCGTATCCCTAGCAACGATCTTGATATGCTTTATAATCCTTAAAAAAGTGGATGAGAATGAAAAAAATCTATGTTTTCAACACGCGTCAGCGAAACAAACAAAATTGACAACAAATATCTAGTGCAATCGATTGTAAAGCAAGGAAGTTTGAAATCTGATGTCACAATCACAAGTGTGACGTAAAAGTAGGTGGTTAGGAAATCTTAATTGAAACTGCGATCATAAAAATTTTGTAGTTGTCTATATTTCATTTAAATTTTCGACAATACCGAAAAATATCAAATGCTATTGTAGGTTGTGTTAAAATGTTCAATTAAACGTGTATTTTGGTTTTATCAGTTATATATTTACAATCAAATCGGTTTTAAAATACTTACGAGAGAGTTAAGGCTATCGTAAAGTTCCGACAAATTTTACACATAAGAATCTCCTAAGATTTTTTGTGAAAAACTCCAAAGATTTCTCTTACGACGGAAATTTATCGTGAGATTTTTTTTTCTGAAAAAGTCTGCTGAAATTTTAAGTAGTCTCTGATGAAGTAGTTCATTTGGAATTTAACTGTTCAGATATCATCGTGTGTCATCATTTGTAAGGGTATGTTCTGTTACTCTGTATATAGTATCTGCAAGAACAATAGTCCTGTTAATATTGAGTGAACGAATCGTTGCCATTTAAAAATTCCTACTAAAAATACTAGTACCATAAAGGTACTTTTTTTTAAATTGTGTGAATAACAATAAGTAAGCTACAAATTAAAAGTTCATATTGACTTGTTGACATTTTTCTGTTCTTGTTCAATCAAACAGGAAATCAGCGAAACGATAAAAAATTGTTTAAGTATATATAAATAATATTTATCTCATCATTAGCTTGTGACAGCGGGGAACATGGAAAAGACTGTCAGGGAATATGTAGTGGAAACTGTTTAAATGGTGAAACCTGTGACCGATTTTATGGAAACTGTAGCTACTGTTCTTCCGGTTGGAAGGGTCCTATGTGTAATATTTGTAAGTACTTTGTAAGTAATTTTCTTTTAGATTAACGCATTAAAATGAAAAATAAGAAGAGATTTTTTTTAATAATATAATCGTTTTTGTAAGGAACCTTTGCCGACATTATCCCTTTTTGCAATTCTTTGCAATTTTGAGCAGGCCTTGAGACTGCAGGCCAGCCCAAAAAGACATCTTGTATAAGACACCTTCCAAATGAGATGAAATGTAACAGTCAAATTCATTGTTAATCCTTTGACCAATGAAGGAGAAATTCAAACAATGATGCAGACCCTTAAATTTGCTAATATCATAGTCACACGCTGCACTCACGCTATAAGGTTTGCTTAAAACTCTACACGGTTTATAAGAAACGGTTTCCACAGATGGCTCAAAAACCTACTCATACGGGTTTATTTACAGTTCTCGCACGCATTGTACACAACTATCATACACTTTTATATAGATCTCAATTTTCAATTCAGATTCCATCGGAAATTATTTAAATGGCTTAATTAGAACGGTAGAATATCAAACATTTGCTTGGTCTATATTTTACAATACATTCTACACTTCACTTGTACTATCCGATATTAAAAAATTGTATATTCAGTAACGGATAATTATTTTTTTATCTGGCGCTTGTTTTAGGGTTAAAGGTTTAATCATCTATTTCTTTTATATCGTATCTTATCCACACTGAAAAAATTACAATGTTTAATATTTTATCATTGCATTTTATTACAGCTGTATTATTGCGATCAAAACCGTTTTATCACTGAAATATATCCCTGAAATCTGTAGCTACTAAATACAGGCGGGATGGATGCAGTACCGGTTGCACAATCTCAAAAGCGAGCAATTTTGTAAGTGGCCAACCAACTCTTCAAATGTTATTGCCCACATAGCGAGTACCGTATATACTCGCCTATAAGTCGGTCCGCCTATAAGTCGGTTGTATTTTTGAAGCTTATATTAGAGGGGTTGACATTCTAAAATACCAGTCTTTTTATAACTCGCCTATAAGTCGGACATAGAGTTTTGGACCAAAGTTTAGCTCCCAAAAATCCGACTTATAGGCGAGTATATACGATAAGAATTTTATTGGAATATTTCTGGTATCTGACTTGCTTGCTTTTACTTTTAAGTACTTCCGTTTTCACTGTTTCACACCTACTAAACGTTTTCTAGACCCCAGATCGAGTTAATATTAAGACAATGTGAAGGAAAACCAATCGTGTCTAAGTCCATAGGAAAATGAAATACTCGAATGCAAAGTAAATTAATGATACGAAAAGATCGAGTTTTTCAGATAAGGGGACAGAAAATAATGCGCCAGAGATGATCCATGTAGGCTACACAAACTTGTAAAGTTGTAGGGGGGAATATATCTGCAACTCTGAAACGATACCAAAAAGTTCTAGAATTGAACTAAAAATATTAGTAAATTGCACTTAAATTACATGTATGTTGATTTACCTGTCTTTGTAGTAATAGTACAGTATTTCTTTACAAGTTAAGACAAGGTTTAGCGTATACTTTGCAAAGTAAACTGAATATAAGAAAGTTGATGCCACTGATGTGCTGGGAACTTTAAGTTGATTTACAATTTGCAGTGTGCTCTGTATCAGAAAAGCTGTTGATGGCTAGATATACTGTATGTATATTATTGTCTCTGGCATGGGACCAGATTAAAATAAATACTATAGAACGCATTTCATTGGAATAGTAAATGATATTTTTTATTCTTTTGATTGATGTTTATCGTCCGTTGCAAGATTATATCAATCATATGAGACGGCACCATCTACCAGTTAATGATTTCAAATTAACCCTTTTACTGAACACTTGGGGCCATTGATCACTTTTATCGTGCAAACTCCTGCCGCGAAAAAGGGCCTGCGTTTTTAAGGTCTCATCCGCAAGACCCGTTACTTTCATTTCAAAGTACCCAACGCTTGGCAAAAGAACAGTTGCGAACATTTTTTTTGACGAGTGAATGAAATAATGCACGCAGCAATGAACGAATAAAAGAAACATTGAACGACACTAAGACGGAGACAGATCTTCCCCTAAAATCAAAACGTGCTTGCATGAACCTTTCGAAGGTTTCAAAGCAATTGATCCACAAGTAAAATTCTTGACCTTAAATACACTAAGCACCAATGGAGTTCGTTTCTGATGCAATCAGAATCCATATTTTATGTTATTTACAAATCTTTTTTTTTACCCTTGAATGCACGGCTGATCCCACCGACCAAAACGAAACTTGTCCTTACTGAGAGACATATTTAAAGAATTACGGAGTGACCTAGAGAAATACTGTATAAGTATATTGCATAGCCTCTATTCCAGGGTGAAGTACTATATGATTTTATTATTTCAGCCTGTGATATCGGAGAATATGGTAAGGACTGCTTAGAGAGGTGTAGTGGTAACTGTTTGAATGGTGAATCATGTGATCGTTGCTATGGAAACTGTAGTTTCTGTTCTGCTGGATGGAAAGGTCCTATGTGTAATGTCTGTAAGTAAAAACAAAGCCTTTCCTTTTTTAATAACTCATTAATTCGTAAGGCAAAAAGAGAATTATTGCGACTCTTTCTGTTAAAAATTTTGCCAACATAATCTTTGCGATAAAATGTTTGCAAATAGAGGGTGAGTTAACCATGCATCGGAAACATACCTTGCTTCGGACAACTTTAAGCAATGAACTTGTATCATTCCTGAGTGTCTCTGTGTTTTCACTTGATTCTGCCTTAAAGCTGAAGATTTAAACTTTTTAATGATGCCGAATGTTATTATCATGCTGTGATAAAAATACCACGAGAATGGCCTTGAAGTTTGTCATACTTGACATCATTAAAGGGGAGTAACCAGAATTTTACGATTTTGGAAATTTCTAGAGTTGTCTTCCCTTTATTAGACTCGAGGGAACAAGTCGGTTTTAGGTGAAATGTGTCAATGATAGATAATTGTACAATTGTACATAATTTTTCAGGAAGTCTGTGTAAATTTTCTTAGAGTTATTTTTACTAGTATGTTCATTCACCGTGCATCGGACAAAAATTAACCATGGATCGGACACTTTCCGATGCATGTGTAATCACTAAATCTTCCATCTCGTATAGAACCCAACTGACGGCTGTTTTTTTTTTTTATTTGTTGCGAAAATAGAAAAAAAACTCTAAATATTAAGTGAAAATACAATTCATTGATATACGACGACTAGAAGTGGACTCAATTTATTTCTACAAACTAAAAGATGATAACTCAGGAGAAAAAAAGCGCGAGTTGCCATATAACTAGTATTATAGAGCCTATCTAAGGCAAAGGGATGCAACTAAAATCACTCCACATTTGTGGATTCATATAGTCAATCAAATTAAACTAAAAAGTTGATTTTTAAATAAAAGATAAAAATATTATCATGTCACTTATTTGAAACCACCGAGGTAAAGGTAAGACTTTTTTATTTTGGTTCAAAATACTTTTTGTCCGATGCATAGTGAATATTGTCCGATCCATGGTGAATTCGGACTCATTTAAAAAAAAATCTTCTTTAATGACATTTTCTCAATAAATAGATTGCAATTGTGTCACAAGTTATATTTTAATCACATACTACATGTTAAGGTCCATTTTGATAATATTCGGTCGGTAGCGATGTCGCTAGGACTTCCTGAAGTACGAGGGTGTCCGATGCATGGTGAATTCACCCTACCAAACACCCTACCAAACATTTACAAGAGGAAGCCTGCCCTAAGTTGACGAAAGTCGTTTTCTTCCTTTCTTTGTTAATTAAAAAAATAAACCATGTAAAAGATGCTTTTAAAGGTTTACAGTTTAACTTGTGGGTGTTTTTCTTTTTTCACAATAATTAAAGAGGAAAGTGTTGGAGAAAAAAATTAAAAGAATATCTGTTTGAAATAACAAACATTATCTCTCATATACTTCAGCTTGTGAGAGCGGAGAATATGGCAAAGACTGCTTAGAGAGGTGTAGTGGAAACTGTTTAAATGGTGAAACCTGTGATCGTTTCTCTGGAAACTGCAGTAATTGTTCTGCCGGATGGAAAGGGCCTGTATGTAATATTTGTAAGTATAAGTAAATACTAAAACATTAAAAAAATGAATTGGATGAATAGTCAGAAATACTACATGGACCAAGTTAATTTTTAAATTCCGTTAGAAACATCGCATAACAAAATTTTTGTTTGGAAAAACTTTCCTGTGCAGCAGACCAACAAAATTTAGCCTAGATGTGAGTGATTTAACTGAAATATTTACAAATGGGTGGCAGTTTGGAATAACATGGAAGAATGAAGGAAAAGAAAAATGTGTAACAATTTTTTTACGATGTATGCATATTCCATGTTTTGTCATGTTTTAGACCTTCATGTATAGTCACGTGAAGTCTAGCGGGAGGTGAGGCAGACGACGAGGAAAGATCTGCAAGTCTTCTCTCTTTTAATGTATACTATCAGTCGAAAATGGGATTTTAAAAATATCTTATAGAGATGAAAGGGTTACATTATCGGTAATATGTAACGCATATTACTCAAAATGCACGAATGGAAAAAACAAGTATATCAATCCCTGATTTTAAAGGGGGAAAATGGAAAGAGGGAACCATTCCCAATTGTCTTTGCTCATGAGAACTATAAAATTGTGTCGAGAGAGTACTTTAAGTATTGTTGTGGGCTAACAGTTAAACAGTAAAATGCATTCTTGGGTTGTAAGTACGGGAATTCATGTTGCAGCTGTTGCAGAATAAATTCAAAACACGCGTAAGCAGGTTATGTGTTTTTTTTCTGCATTAGCTGCATTGTTAATTCCAGTACTAACAAACAAACAAACAAACAAACAAACATTTTATTGTTTACATTTATATATGTACAAATAATCACTTAAAGTAGGATTTAGTAGATGAAATAGTGTAATATTGATATGTACGTCATTGTACATTTCATTGATGGAGCAGACACTGCTCATGAAATTTGTAGAGGTGATATGCTTAGCGGTGTTTATTGACTGATAAACGACAACGGTTTTCTTAAGAAATAAAGGAGAAAATATTCAGTGGATGTAAATATATTGCAGTAAAAACGAAGTTTGTATGAAATCTCTAGTTGGCAATCTAAGGAATCTTTTAAATAAACACGAATGAATAAATCAAAAAATAATTATTTCTAACAATTTTAATTCATTTCAGCTTTGAGAATTGAGGAATCAAATCTCCATATGGTTGTCACTTTTATGATGATACTATTATATTGCAATGTTACTATCGGTGAAGGATTTTTCTCTCTGGTGGCAAATGCATGTGAAGTATGCAAATACTTGGGTACGCTAAGTTTTAATAATGTCATAGCTGGTGAAACATGCTATTATTTTGTTTATGGGCAATATACTGGATTTTAGTGCCCACTTGGCGAGTAAAAATTTTATGAGTAAGAACTTATCTGAAATCTGACTGTGGCTTCCTTCTACTATATAATATACTTCCGTTTTACACTGTTCCCTACAAACAAACGGTTTCTTTACTCTGAATCGAATTAACTTAATATCTATGTGAGGGGAAACAAGTGGTGCCAAAATACAAAGATAAATGATAGACTGGCCGCAAATTATACTTATGATACGAAAAGATCGATTTTTTTCATAAGGGGAAAGAAAATTTGTACCCGAAAATATCAATGTAGACTACTCACACCCTTAAACTTGGGAGACCCATGTGGCCCCTTATATGGTCCCCTAAGGTTTTATGATTTTCATTATTTTTTTTTATTTTTATTTATTTATTTATTTATTTTTTCAAACTCTGAAACTCTTGAATTACATGCAAGTAAACTTCTTTATTTACCTGTCTTTGAAGTAGTGGTACAATATTTCTTTACAAGTAAAATAAAGTTAAATGCATATTTTGCAAAGTAAATTTAATATTGGAATTCTGATGCTGATGATGGGTTGATTTGTATTTTACTACTGTATCAGTAAAGCTGTAGATAACTAGATACACTAAATATATAATATTGCCTTAAACTTGGGAGGCCCATGTGGCCCCTTATATGGTCCCCTAAGGTTTTATGATTTTTATTATTATTTTATTATTTTTATTTATTTATTTATTTATTTATTTATTTATTTTTTCAAACTCTGAAACTCTTGAATTACATGCAAGTAAACTTCTTTATTTACCTGTCTTTGAAGTAGTGGTACAATATTTCTTTACAAGTAAAATAAATTTAAATGCATATTTTGCAAAGGAAATTTAATATTGGAATTCTGATGCTGATGATGGGTTGATTTGTATTTTACTACTGTATCAGTAAAGCTGTAGATAACTAGATACACTAAATATATAATATTGTCTCTGGCATGGGACCAAATTTAGATAAATTCTGGAATGCATTTCATTTGAATAGTAATTGATATTTTTCTATTTTATTGATTACATGTAATTGATATTTTACGTCTGTTGCAAGATTATATCACTCGAATAAGACGGCATCATATAATAGTGAATGATTTCAAATTAAGCCTTTTACTCAGCACTTAGGGTCATTGAGCACTTTTATCGTGCAAATACCTGCGACGATAGGGGCCTTGGTTTTTAAGGTCTCATCCGGAAGACCCGTAACTTTCACTTCAAAGTGCCTAGCGCTTAGCAAAGGAACAGTTGCTACCATTTTTGGACGATTGAACAAAACAATGCACGTAGCAATAAACGAATGAAGTAGATCCTTATTGAGACTAAGACGGAGACAGATCTAACATCTAAGATCAAAACGTGAGCTTGCGAGAACCATGGAGAAAAGTTTCAAAAACAAGTGATCCACAAGTAAAATTCTTGACCTCAAATACATCGCAAACTAATAAAGTTTGTCTCTAATGCAACCCGAAACCATGTTTTTATGTTATTTCCAAATCAACCTTTTTTACCCTTAAATATACAGTTGAAAACGACCAAAACAAATATACTAAATATCTATGAATCCAATATAGATGTTTGTTTACCATACTTTCATTTCCTGTTGCAAGACCAATTTATAAACCGATAATATACCAAGCCTTGTCTTAACTGAGAAACATGAATTAAGAATTAAGGATTGACCTAAGAAATGCTGCATTAGTATATTGCATAGCCCCAATTCCAGGATGGCCACCCATGGGGAGTTTACAAACTTATTATTTGTATTCTTTCAGCCTGTGATGTTGGAGAATATGGAAAAGACTGCTTAGAGAGATGTAGTGGAAACTGTTTAAATGGTGAATCATGTGATCGTTTCTATGGAAACTGTAGTCACTGTTCTGCTGGATGGAAAGGTCCCATGTGTAATGTCTGTAAGTAAAAAAAAGTATTTTTTTTTAGATTTACTCATAAATGCGGTAAGGTAAGAAGAGTACTGTGGTGTCTCTTTTTCTTTTATAAACTTTGCCAACATAATCTTGAATAATAAATTTTTCCAAAAATATGACAGAAATCGTATTCTTCCTTTCTCTTTTTTATTTGTTAATTAAATGTTTATAAATAAATAAACCTTGGTAAATATGCTTGTAAAGTTTGGTAAAATAATTTTCCAAAATTGTGAATGACAATAACATTGCAAAAATTAAACGTTAACAGTTTAATCTATGGATGTTTTTTTCTTTTTTCACTACAATCAAAGAGGAAATAGGATAAAAAATAAAAGAAGTATGTGTCTGAAATAACAAATAGATATCTCTCATATACTTCAGCTTGTGATATCGGAGAATATGGAAAATGCTTAGAGAGGTGAAGTGGAAACTGTTTAAATTGTGAATCATGTGATCGTTTCTATGGAAACTGTAGTAAATGTTCTAAATGTACTGAAAGAACAAATATTAATTTTAAGTCATTTGAAATAAATTTGAGAAAACAGTGATTTTTACAATAATCTAACTGACTAAAAACCTAAAAAAAAAAAACCTTATTTCAAGACATTTCATAATGCTGACTATTGATATCCCATGCCGATCATTCCTTTAAAAGGAATACTTTTTCCTTCGCCGCAGGTACATGTAGTCGGATCTTATTATTCATTGGAAAAGAACCACTCGAATACGTAGATGAATATCCTTTTTAAGCTTAATCATGGAAGGTACATGTACATGTATGTCAGTATGAATGAAACATGTACAAATAATTTCAATGTCTTTTTTTCAGCTTGTGAAAACAATGAATATGGAAAAGACTGCTCAGAGAGGTGTAGTGAACACTGTTTGAATGACGAAACCTGTGATCGTTTCTATGGAAATTGTAGTCACTGTTCTGCCGGATGGAAAGGTCCCATGTGTAATGTGTGTAAGTATACATAAAACATCTATTCTAACAATAAACTTTAAGACATAGGAATAATAAGAGGTCTGTATCGACCAGAACTATTTTAATTGTTAGAAAGTTTGCCAACATAATGTTTGTGATAAAATCCTATGGAATCCGGATAGAGCCTTGTAGTTCTCTAAAGCACCATCGAGGTTTGGGCCAATAGTGAGATGATGCGAAAATTCGATGACAAGGAAGCCATGGTACAATGACGATGAAGTGTTGGAGCGAAAGCGCGATAATGATGATGCGATGGCGCGACAATGCGTTGTCGATGATGCGATAGCCTGATGAAGCGATGAGTCGATGGTGCGATAGCGATGACATGATGGTGCGATGACAATAAAGCGATGGTACGAAAATGATGAAGCGATGTCTATGTTCACTATCGACTATCGTACTATCGCACCATCGTCATGGCATTGTTGGGCTATCGCATCATCGTCAGTGCTATCGGACCGTCGCGTCATCGTCATCACATCATCTCTTCGTCTTCATCGCGCCATCGCATTATCGCGCCATCGGCCCTGTAGTTGATGCTCGATGGTGCGATAGTGAACTACCTGGCCCTATCCGATTTCCACAGAAAACCTCAGTCTTCATATGTACAAAACGTATTCTGGTGGTGCTTTAATACATAATATCTGAGAGCCCTCAACCATTTAGTAGATCTACAAACTATTATTCTTAACTTTAAAACGAAGTATAAATCTGAAAATTTAAGTAGTCTCTGATGAAGTAGATCAAGTGGAATTTAATTGTTCAGATATCATCGTGTGTCATCCTTTGTAAGGGTATGTTCTGTTACTCTATATATAGTACCGGTATTGTGTTAATAACAATAAGTAAGCTACAAATTAAAAGTTCATATTGACTTGTTGACATTTTTCTGTTCTTGTTTTAATCAAACAGGAAATCAGCGAAAAGATGAAAAGAAATTGTTTAGCTATATATAAATAATATTTATCTCATCATTAGCTTGTGACAGTGGGGAACATGGAAAAGACTGTCTGGAAATATGTAGTGGAAACTGTTTAAATGGTGAAACCTGTGACCGATTTTATGGAAACTGTAGCTTCTGTTCTGCTGGTTGGAAGGGCCCTTTGTGTAACGCTTGTAAGTACTTTATAAACGAAATATTTTTTATTTAGTTTTTAGGTTGACGCATTAACGGATTAATAGGCAGAGGTTTACATAGAATACAGTCATTTATTATTTTTTTTAGGAACTTTGTGATATAATCCTTTTTGCGAACCTTTCCTATGAATTCAAACTTTTCTATAGCAGCCCTTGAGACGGGCCTGCCCAAAAAGACATCTTGAGACGAAATTTGACAAAAACTAGGTAGTGTTCAGTTGTATTTATTATAATGTTTATACTTAGACACATGAGGGAGATACACAAACAATGATGCAGACCCTTAAAGTGCTAATATCACAGTCACACCTGCAAGTATACGTTTCATGCTCACTACAAGATTTGCTAAAATTGCTTCACGGTTTAGACAAAGCGGTGTATAATGATGGCACAAAATAGCTACACGTACATACAGGTTTGTATTCAGTTTTCAGTAGCGTTGTTCACAATTATCATACGCTTTAGTATAGATCTCGATTTTACATTGAAGTTCCATGGTTTTTTAAGGATTGAAGTAGAATAACGAAATAGACCTGTGTTTTACAATATGTGTTACACCTCTCCTGAACTCTCCGATATCAATAGAGAATCGTTGTTTTTTTTTATTGCAGCCCGGAAGGACCGGGCTGCTCTATACATATAAGTTTAAGTTTTGGTGTATGGGATTGAGGTGGGAGAAGTTATTCAGAATTAAAGGTAAAATATACATTAAAAAGATTATACATCAGAATGTTCTTTCCCTTTATAAATTACGAGATACGCAATATATTTACTTCCATGAAGTACATCTTTAAAAATATATGTTTTTCATATGTAATATACAAAGTTGCTTATCATTTACTATCGACAAAACGACAGGTCCCTTTTTTAGAATATTTAATTTTACTTATCGCATAAAAACGTTTGTTACACAGTTTTTGTTTTATATTCATTAAGTGAAATATACTTTTGATGATAGGTGTTACATGATTCTAATTGACCTTTTCCTGTTCTTGTTTTTATCAAATAGAAAATTGACGAAATAATTGAAAAAATATCGGATGAAGTAACTATAAATAATATCTATTTTATCATTTAGCTTGTGACAACGGGGAATATGGAAAAGACTGTATGGGAATATGTAGTGGAAACTGTTTAAATGGTGAAACCTGTGACCGATTTCATGGAAACTGTAGCTACTGTTCTGCCGGTTGGAAGGGTCCTATGTGTAATATTTGTAAGTACTTTACAAAGTAATTTTCTTTTAGATAGTGTTGTCAAATCGGGCTATTTTTAGTAACCCGTTACTCGCTCACTTTTCCGATCGAGTACCCCGTTACTCAGATGATTTTTCGTTACAGTTACCATATCTATTATATACCTCATCCTTTAATTACCTATCGGTAGAAATAAAACAAATGTACTGTATATGAACTATATTCACAATTACAAATTCAAACGCACACACACAATATCTTCAAAAAATTTTGATTTTAGATATCACTCGAAACGGTCAGTTTGTTTTTTGTTTAAGAAAATAATTTTAACGACACACGAAGAAGACAGATAATCTTCAATCACCATTTTTACAATGGCTCTCGTTATGTTCCTTTATAGCCCCTGATATATGTCGCGATCAAGGAGAATTAAAATACCCGTAATTACTGGTTTATTTGTAGACTGCCCAGTAAATGGCTTGTTTCCGAGCAATGTTTTAATATTAGGTGATTTAACATATTTGTAGTCCCATTCGTATACAATAACTCCGATTCACATAATTTACATTTTAGTACAGATCTCGAAGCTGCTGTTCGTTTAAAATACTTCCAAGCTTTATGTCTGCATCGGCATCTTAATAAATTATGTTCCTTTGACTAGCACAGGTGTAAATGAGGTAATTATATTTCAGGTCTTCAAAACTTTTATACTCCTGGCAATCAAAGCTATCAATTATATAAACTGTGAAAACTAATCCAAACAAATCAATCCTATTTGTGAACCAATATATCAAGTCTAACGGTAAATAATTTTAGGTAAATGTGTTATTATACATTTATAAACAATATAACATTTATTTTCTACGTATTTACTATGTAAAAAGTATTTTTTATCCGAGTAACCGAGTAGCAGTTTTACTAACCGATACTCGCATCGTTCGACGGTTAACCGGTTAACCGAGTACTCGTTGACAACACTACTTTTAGATTAAAGCATTAAAATGAAAAATAAGCAGAGATTTTTTTTTATAATATAATCGTTTTTGTAAGGAACATTTGATGACATTATCCCTTTTTGCAATTCTTTGCAATTTAGAGCAGGCCTTGAGATTGCAGGCTAGTCCAAAAAGACATCTTGTAGAAGACACCTTTCAAAATGAGATGAAATGTACAGTCCCTGAAACGTTCTACTTTTCCATTTTTCCGTTCGCTCACCGTTCGTTCACCGTTCGTTCAGCGTTCACCGTTCACAAAGCGTTCACCGTTCGCTCTCCGTTCGTTCACTTTGCGTTCAGCGTTCACTTATCGTTCAGTCTTCACTGTCGTTACTTAGTCAGTATTTCAAGTATATTTTAAATTAATATTTAAATAGAAGTTAACGCGTTTTGTAGCACAAATATATCAGTCTCAAAACAAACATGCATCTAAAAAAGTCATTAAACAATAGTAGTTCAAAATATACACGCGCCGAAGGTGGTATTTTAAATTGGCCAGGGAGTATGTTTCAAATTCATTCGAAGTGTTTATGCCCAATGTAATTTATTTATTTTTTATTTATTTATTGGAAAAATTGGAATCAGATCTAGAAATGATAAAAAATGTTAAAACTTCTTGGAAATACTACAGTGTAGCACTTCACCTTTGGTGTGACGAGACTTTCACACCTGCACAGTGTCGAATGATTTTGATTGACAGGACAAGCACGTGGACTTCGTGTGAACTTGAAGCAGGAAAATAAAAACCGATTATGACTGTCAAACAAAGTGAATTTGTTGATAAATAAAAAAGGTTACTTTCACTGCCTGATATATTTAGATAAAAATTAAGAATTTTTGTTTATACAAGTACATATGTACTTGTACATGCATTTGTGGAAAGGGGGGCTAAAATGGTCTCTCTCTCTCTCTCTCTCTCTCTCTCTCTCTCTCTCTCTCTCTCTCATTTGTCCGTTTAATCAAAACTATGACACGTATTACTTAATTACCAAGTTCTGAAATTTTGATCTATAACAAATAATATGAATGTTTCTTTGTATCACCTTGTCTGAGTATTATCACGGGGAATTGCCTACAGATACATGTAGAAGTCTGCTGAATAAATCATCATTAAAAAAATGAAAAGACACATAAATATATTATTGCATTAATTTTTTTTAAATACGAGTGTATACATGCAATACGTCCACAGAATAGCAAAATATTTTCTAATTTTTTTCTCATTATTTTACAGGGAATTGCCTTGACACGGAAATACATGTATGGTTGTTACAACCGTTGTAATTCAATCTATAAGTCAGTAATGTACTCTTCGAAAATCATTATTTGTAATGGATTTTATATATCAAATAAGAATAAACATATTTATTTTACAACTAGAATAATTAAACTACAGCAATCTGTAACAACGACAATGTTGTACAGCGATAAAAATCGTGTGATTAAACAGCTGAATTTAAACATCATACATATGTGCAGAAAATATTGTAAGAAACTTAATTAATAGTTTTACTGAAAGTGCATGTTTCGTCTTTCTTAGGACAGTTTTGGAATATATATATATATATATATATATATATATATATATATATATATATATATATATATATATATATATATATATATATATATATATATATATATATACAGGAAAATTTTTTTCCCCGTTTTATTTCCGCCCCCTTCGCCCCACTCACATGTGGGCGAATTTAAAACGGGGGGAATTCAAAGACAACAGTATAGTTTCTTAAACAAAATTGTGACTGGGCGAATTTAAAACGGGACAAAATTGTTTGCAATTGTGAAAGGGCGAAAATAACACTGGGCAAAAATAACCCTGTATACAGTATATATTTATTTATTTAGTTATTTATTTTCCGCCTGACATTGAATACAATAGAATAGATACAATGCATGGAAAAGATCAGAGGCATTCCGAATAAATCGTTCATCTTGCGTTCACCGTTCACTTTGCATTCGCGCTCCGTTCGCTCACCGTTCAGCGTTCACCTACCGTTCACCAAGTTGCGTTCAGCATTCACACATCGTTCACTCACCGTTCGTTCTGCGTTCGCTCACCGTTCGCTCTGCGTTCGTTCAGCGTTCGCTCACCGTTCAAGTGGGAAAGTAGAACGTTTCAGGGACTGTAACAATCAAATTCATTGTTAATCCTTTGACTAATGAAGGAGAAATGCAAACAGTGATGCAGACCCTTAAATGTGCTAATATCATAGTCACACTCTGCACTCACACTATAAGGTTTGCTTAAAACGCTACACGGTTTATAAGGGACGATTTTCACAGATGGCTCAAAAACCTACTCATACGGGTTTTATTTACAGTTCTCGCACGCGTTGTACACAACTATCATACACTTTTATATAGATCTCAATTTCAATTCAGATTCCATCGGAAATTATTTAATTGGCTTAATTAGAACGGTAGAATATCAAACATTTGCTTGGTCTATATTTTACAATACATTCTACACTTCACTTGTACTGTCCGATATTTATAAACTGTATATTCTGTAATGGATAATTATTTTTTTATCCGTTTATTTTAGGGTTAAAGCTTTAATCATCTATTTTTTTTTTTATATCGTATCTTATCCACACTGAAAAAAAAATTACGATGTTTCATATTTTATCATTGCATTTTATTACAACTGCATTATTGTGATCAAAACCGTTTTATCATTGAAATATATCCCTGAAATCTGTAGCTACTAAATACAGGTGGGATGCAGTACCGGTTGCTCAATCTCAAAAGCGAGCAATTTTGTAAGTGGCCAACCAACTCTTCAAATGTTATTGCCCACATAGCGAGTAAGAATTTTATTGGAATATTTCTGGTACCTGACTTGTTTGCTTTTACTTTTAAGTACTTCCGTTTTCACTGTTTCACACCTACTAAACGTTTTCTAGACCCCAGATCGACAATATGAAGGAAAACCAATCGTGTCTAAGTCCATAGGAAAATGAAAGACTCGACTGCAAAGTAAATTAATGATACGAAAATGTACGCATGCACTAATGATGGTATACGCTTCTTTCAGTCCTGTTTTTCATTATTTTCTAATGTTCCTAGCATACTTAACAAAGTCCAGTTGAATCTTTCTGTCGTTCCATTTGACATAGGGTGGTATGGTGTGGTTCTCGATTTTTCTATCTTTGTAATGTCACATAATTCTTTAATCTGATGGCTTTCAAATTGGGCTCCTTGATCACTATGCAATCTTGCAGGAATTCCATAATGTACAATGAAAAGTATTTTGATCCTGAAAGTGTGTCCAACATATCCTCAATCCTTGGTAATGCGTAGGAATCTTTTATGGTTCTCTTGTTCAACATTCTGTAATCTACACACATTCTGATGCTACCATCTTTTTCTTCACTAGTATTAAGCTTGACGCAAAAGGTGACTTTGATGATCCCTGCTGATAACAACTACTCAATAATCAATCATTGATGGGGGATCCTTCTATTTCTTTGTTTGAATGGAGTCTCGTCTGATAAGTTTATCTGATGTTTAACCTCTGTAAAATGCCCAATGTCTGTATCTCCTTTGGAAAATATTTCATTGTATTCTTGCAATAACCTCCATAATTGATCTGTCTGTTGTTGGGATAATAAGGAACTCTCTAATGAAATACTCCTCAAATGCTCTGGTCTTGTATTTTGGTGATGTGCTATATTTGGCAAAAAGTTGCTAAATTCTACAGATTGGATCTCACATAATATTGATCTGGGCTGGACAGAAACCATTCTAGTTGTCACGTTCGAGATATAGATGTCCACTTCCTTGCTGTTTATGGAGTAAATATATCTAAATCCTTTGTTAAACATGATTTTTCTGTATGTTCAAATATTGCTAATGTTGTTGGATGTTGTATCATACTCCTACTGTCAATGTATCCTTTAACACAGATGTTACTGTTGGGCTTTATGATGATTTTATTCTTTTTTGCAGATCTTACTAAAGCTAATCTGTTGTTTGTTTTCCTCATCATTTTCTCTTGAATT